ATGTCCCCTGATGTCCCCATGTCCCCACTGTCCCCCACTGTCCCCCGCTGTCCCCGTCCCCACTGACCGCTGTCCCCGTCCCCAGGCTCGCTGTCCCCGTCCCCGAGCTGGCGCTACGAGCCCGGCGTCCAGGGCGTTTTCCTGAGCGGTGACATCCAACCGGACGCCGCGGGGACACTTCGGGTGACGTCCGGTGGCCTCTACCTGCTCTACGGCCAGCTGATTGTCACCTGCACGGCGGCCACCTGTCCCCAAGGCGGTGTCACCCTGCGGCTGCGCCGTGCCACCGCCCCGCTGCTGGCCGTGCCGCTGGCCCTGCCGGCCGCGCCCGGTGGCCACCAGCGACGCTCGGCGCTGGTCCAGGCCGTGGGACACCTCTGGCCTGGGGACGTCCTCAGCCTGGAGATGGTTGGGGACACGCTCGGGGACAGCGCGGGGGACGCGGGCGGGTGGCAGCTGGCGCAGGACGAGCGCGAGGGCAACTTCGTGGGGCTGCTGCGGATCGCGGGCGGGTGACGGCGGGTGGTGGCACTGGGTGGTGGCACTGGGTGGTGGCACCGGGAGCAGCTGGTCTCGTGTCCTGCTGGTCACCTGCTGGGGTGGGGCTTGGGGACGTCAGGGAGTCCCAGGTGGGGAGGTCTGGGGACATCGAGGGACATCGGTGACACCCAAGTGTGGAGGTTTGGGGGCATCGAGGGACATCGGTGACGTCCAAACCCAGAGGTTTGGGGACATCAGTGACACACAGCCATGGAGGTTTGGGGACATCAAGGGACATTGGTGGCATCCAAACCCAGAGGTTTGGGGGCATTGAGGGACATCGGTGACGTCCAAACCCAGAGGTTTGGGGGCATTGAGGGACATCGGTGACGTCCAAACCCAGAGGTTTGGGGGCATCAGTGACACACAGCCATGGAGGTTTGGGGACATCGAGGGACATCGGTGGCGTCCAAACCCAGAGGTTTGGGGACATCAGTGACATCCAAACCCAGAGGTTTGGGGGCATCGAGGGACATCGGTGACGTTCAAACCCAGAGGTTTTGGGGACATCAAGGGACATTGGTGACGTCCAAACCCAGAGGTTTGGGGACATCAAGGGACATCGGTGACGTCCAAACCCAGAGGTTTGGGGACATCAGTGACATCCAAACCCAGAGGTTTTGGGGACATCGAGGGACATCGGTGGCGTCCAAACCCAAAGGTTTGGGGACATCAGTGACACACAGCCATGGAGGTTTGGGGACATTGAGGGACACTGGTGGCATCCAAACCCAGAGGTTTTGGGGACATCAAGGGACATCGGTGACACCCAAACGTGGAGGTTTGGGGACATCAAGGGACATCATCAGCAGACATTGGTGACAGACATTGGTGACATCCAAACCCAGAGGTTTGGGGACATCAAGGGACATCAGTGACACCCAAGTGTGGAGGTTTGGGGACATCAAGGGACATCGGTGACATCTCTGGTTGGAGATCTGGGGACAGATCTCTGGTGATGTCTGTGATTGGACATTTGGGGACAAGGGACGTCGGTGACATCCAAGGCTGGAGATTTGAGTGACAAGATCCCCGTGTCCAGAGGTTTGGGGACACCAAGTGACACTGGTGACGTCCATGTTTGGACATCTGGGGACAAGACCACCACACCCAGAGATCTGGGGACATTGAGTGACACCGGTGACCTCCACACCTGGAGATTTGGGGACATCAAGTGACATCCGTGACTTCCCCCCCCCCCCATTTGTTGCTTGGGGACATTTGGGGACCTCCTGGACCCAGTGGGGGACACTTGGGGACATTTGGGGACCCAGTGCTGGACACTTGGGACCTCCTTGGGGACATTTGGGGACACTTTGGGGGGGGGTGGCCCCTGCTGTCCCCCTCCCCCAGCCGGCCTGGGGGGTGGCTCCTCCCCTCCCTAAATTATTCTCCTTAATTAATTATTTATTAATTAACAAATAAATTTATTTATGGATTATTTTTACCGCCTGGATTGTCCCCAAAAACATGGAGGTGACAACCCTGGGGGACCTCGGTGGGGGGGGGTGGGGTCCCACCTGCAAATCCCCCCAAAATTTGACCCAGAACCCCCCAAAATTTGCCCCAGGAAATCCAAAATGTGCTGAAAATCCCCCAAAATTTCTCCTGGAGTCCCCCCAAAATTTAACCCCAAAACTCCAAAATTTACCCTGGAGTCCCCCAAAATTTAACCCCAGAACCCCAAAATTTGCTCCAGAGCCCCCAAATTGTCCCAGATCCCCCAAATTTCCTCCAGACCCCCCAACTTAGCCCCCCAGAACCCCCAAATTTGGCCCAAATGCCCCAAATTTGCCCCAGAGACCCCAAATTTGCCCCAGAGTTCCCCCCAAAAATTGCCCCAGGTGCAGAATGTGGGGTGGGAAATTCGGGGTTGTAAAATTTTGGGGTGCAGAAATTTGGGGGGGGGGGGTGGAGTTTGCGGGTGCAAAATTTGGGGCGCAGGGTGTGGGGGTGGGAAATGCGGGGCGCAAAATTTTAGGGTGCAGGGATTGGGGTGTGGGGTTGGGGGCAAATTTTGGGGTGCTGCGAAATGTTGGGTGCAGGATTTGGGGTGCAGGATTTGGGGTGTGGGTTTTGGGGTGCGAAATTTGGGCGGAGAGATTTGGGGTTTGGGGGTGCAGAGTTTGGGGTGCAAAATCTGGGGCCCAGGGTGTGGGGTGGGAAATTCGGGGTGCAAAATTTTGGGGTGCGGGGTTTGGGGGGGCAAAATTTGGGATGTGGGAAATGTGGGGTGCAGAATTTGGGGTTCGGGTTTTGGGGTGCTGAATTTGGGTTCCCTGTGACCCCTCTGGTGTCCCCACGTCCCCTGTGGTTTCCCAGTGTCACCTCTGCTGTCCCCGTGTCCCCTTTGGTGTCCTCATGTCCCCTGTGGTGTCCCCATGTCCCCTCTGGTGTCCCCGTGTCCCTTTTGGTGTCCCCACGTCCCCTGTGGTGTCCCCGTGTCCCCTGTGGTGTCCCCGTGTCGCCTCTGGTGTCCTCATGTCCCCTCTGGTGTCCCTGTGTCACCTCTGGTGTCCCCATGTCACCTTTGGTGTCCCCGTGTCCCCTCTGGTGTCCCCATGTCCCCCATGGTGTCCCCATGTCACCTCTGGTGTCCCCGTGTCCCCTTTGGTGTCCCCACGTCCCCTGTGGTGTCCCCATGACCTCTGTGGTGTCCCCACGTCCCCCGTAATGTCCCCACATCCCCTGTGGTGTCCCCAAGTCCCTCTGTTGTCCCCACGTCTCCTCTGGTGTCCCCACGTCCCCCATGGTGTCCCCATGTCCCCTCTGGTGTCCCTGTGTCACCTCTGGTGTCCCCGTGTCCCCTTTGGTGTCCTCATGTCACCTCTGGTGTCCCCACGTCCCCCGTAATGTCCCCACATCCCCTGTGGTGTCCTCATGTCCCCTCTGGTGTCCCCGTGTCCCCTTTGGTGTCCCCACGTCCCCTGTGGTGTCCCAGTGTCACCTCTGCTGTCCCCGTGTCCCCTCTGGTGTCCTCATGTCCCCTCTGGTGTCCCCATGACCTCTGTGGTGTCCCCATGTCCCCCGTAATGTCCCCACATCCCCTGTGGTGTCCTCATGTCCCCTCTGGTGTCCCCGTGTCCCTTTTGGTGTCCCCATGTCCCCTCTGGTGTCCCCGTGTCACCTCTGGTGTCCCCGTGTCCCCTGTGGTGTCCCCGTGTCCCCTCTGCTGTCCCCATGTCCCCTCTGGTGTCCCCGTGTCCCCTCTGCTGTCCCCGTGTCACCTCTGCTGTCCCCATGTCCCCTGTGGTGTCCCCACGTCCCCTCTGGTGTCCCCATGTCCCCTCTGGTGTCCCCGTGTCCCCTGTGGTGTCCCCACGTCCCCTCTGGTGTCCCCGTGTCCCCTCTGGTGTCCCCATGTCCCCTCTGGTGTCCCCGTGTCCCCTCTGGTGTCCCCACTCTCCCCCCAACAAAGACACCCCAAACCAGGTGCTCAGAAATGACTTTTTTTTAACCAAAAAAAAAAGAAAATAACCAAAAAAAGAAAGGGCGGGGAGGGGACAAAAAGTGACCGGAGCGTGGTGACACGCCGGGACCAGGTGACACCCGAGGGCGGGTGGCACCCGAGGGTGGGTGGCACCCCGGGGACTCAGCTGGGACAGCCGAAGAGCGTCATGGACTCGGAGAACTCGAGGAAGTCCTGGCAGAGCTTCTGCAGCTCCGCGTCCTGGCACGCGACCTCCGAGGGCCACTCCTCCAGCCACGTGTCCTTCCCCACCAGGTACGAGAAGCTGGGGACACGGGGACAGCTTGGGGACATCCGCGGGGACACCAAAGGGGACATGGGGACAACCGTGGGGACAGCTTGGGGACACGGGGACAGCTTGGGGACATCCGCGGGGACACCAAAGGGGACATGGGGACAACCG